ATGACAAGAATCCTTTCTGATAAGGAATAAAGACAGAAAAGCACCTCAGTGAGAATTTCCTGAGCTACATGGCTTTCTGTAAATGATGTAAAGCAGAAGCTGAGTGATATTCACCTCTGCCTTTTGTATTTCTCTTTTTTTATTGCAGCGTTTTTTATTAATAAGATTTTTAATGTGAAAATACCATACAGAGAGGTTACAATTACATGAGCAAGGTAATGAGTATATTTCTTATCAAGCATTGTTGCCTCCTCCTTTGTTTCTCCTTACTATCCCTTCCCATCACTCCCCCTCCCCATGAGTACATTTCTTATCAAGCATTGTTGCCTCCTCCTTTGTTTTGAATTTCTCTTAATTGAAATTTGTTTTCCCTACACTTACACACATCAGTACTTTGGTTAAGTGGTGCCAGGCTATAGAGGTTTATAGGAAATCTTACCTGGAGAGTATGAAGAGTGTTGGAGACATACAAATTTCAGTGAAATATCAAATGTTTAGGTGTTCTCAATTTCTGTGGAAATCATATATGTAGGCAGGTACTAGTGTCTCACCCCTGAAATTCTATCTACTCAGGAGGCTACAATCTGAAGATCACAGTTCAAAACCAGCCTGGGAAGAAAAGTCTGTGGGACTCTTATCTTCAATTAATCAGCAAAAAGCCGGAATTAGAGCTGCCCTTCATGTGGTAGATGGCTAGCCTTGAACAAAAATGCTCAGGGACAGAGGCTAGGTTCTGAGATCAAGCCCCAGGACTGGCGCAAAATATGTACACATATAGAAATCAAATCATTGAATTAAAAACAATCAGTGGATAATATTCCTTGTATTTTTCAAATACATTTGATAAACTAGTCTTCTATGCATAGAGAAAGAGAAGAATAAAACATGTTTTTGCTGCAAATATGAGCAAAATCAAAATATGACAACTAGAAGTAGGCAAAACAGTCTTGGTTTCTGACCTTCGTGTCCAGTTGCTGCTGTCCTACCAGGCACCCTGTTCTTTACGAAGACTGATTCCTTGGCTGTAATTCTTGGCTAGTTGCTCAAGATTAAGATGAGAGTAATTGACAAAGTACCTGCCTATTTCCTGAGTGTCTTTTATTCTAAGAAACCTGAAACATTTAGGACCAAATGCTCTGTTAGTTACATTGTTGGGAAGGTACTAGTTCCCTGTACTCAAATGTACAAGAAGCTGCACAGAGACTTCTTATCTGAGAATTAAATAGAATAGAGGTCCTCAGCCCACAGTAAGTAGTCAGCACACTTAGAAGACTGTCCAGTTCTTGTAGCATATAGAATATTCTCTTACAGAAGAATTGCCCTTTTGCTGGCTCAGAAGGTGAACTTTCTATGTCCTGCTTTTGTTTATTAATCCTGTCTGGGAGAAGAGCACTTCCCATCTATCTGAATTGTCTCTGCAACAGCAAAGACCCTTGTCTTAGAAAAGCTGGTTCTAACGCAATTATAAGATTATTTCTTTGTTGCTGTGTATGTCCCTCCCCCACAGTATAACCCATGCTTTCACTGTATTTGATGTTGGTACAATTTGTGGAGGGGAAGGGGAAAAACAAGTCGTTTAAATAAGGATACAGGTGGACCTGCTGCAACAATGAGAAGTACAAGTTGTCATGTCAAAAACGAACTTTACAACTTGGGGGGGGGGAGGATTGGGTGGGGAGGAGGATTGGGTGGGGAGGAGGGAGGATGGGAAGGGATGGAAGAGTAAACAAAGGAGGAGGCTACAATGCTTGATAAGAAATGTACTCACTATCTTGCCCATGTAATTGTAACCCCTCTGTACAGTATTTTCACAATAAAAAAAGAAATATATATAAAAAAAGAAATGAATTCATTATCTTGCCCATGTAATTGCAACCCCTCTGTACAGTATTTTCACAATAAAAAAAAATTAAAAAAAAGCTGGTCAGCTGTGGCTATCACTTCACTAAATTGGGGAAGGACCAATTCAGAACTGATGGTCAGCCGTACCTAGAGGCCTAGTCATTTCTCTCCTCTACAAAAGACTTATTTTGAGGATCCTCTCATTCTCTGGTTTCATACAAATTAATTTCTTGATACCTCAAACAAGTTTTGTGATGTTTCAATTCCATATTGGATTCTAGTTATCTTTTCCCTCCTATGTGTCAGAACTCCAAGGCTGAGAGGTAAACAATTCTGTGCTAATATAATTCTTCCTCCTAGCTTCTCCTATCCCCCACCCTCTCTCTTTCAACTTACCCCTGGCCTTAGATGATGAGCAGTATGTTCAAGAAAAGACATGATTGATACAGGATTCTTACTACTTAGATTTCCCTCTCCCATAAACTTCAAAATAAACGGCTTACAAGCTTTGCTGTAACTATATTCAGCATTTTATCTAGTTAAGGTAGAAGCAAGTCTAAGGTGCTAAAAAATGTAAAAACTTTTCATCATTTATTTGTTTTCTGTGTATTTTTGTCATTATAATAAAGGAATATTGTTTTCAAAGAAAGCTAAATACATAAAAGGATGTGAGTTCCAACTCAATTTCATAAAAGATCACTTGGCTTTCTGAGGATTAGACGTACTGGTTTTTCTTATGGCACCTGCCTCATGAGAGAATAAATAAGAAGAGAATAGTTTCCCATATTCCTTGCAAAGTAACAAACTTTCTCATTAATGATGGAGAAAGGAAGTGGTTGGTAAAGTGGAATGGAGTCAGGTCACACTGAGCGGCTTCTATTCTCTCAATGCGTCTTCTTTCACTTGCTTTACATACTATCAATTTTCAAAATCAGGTCTGTGGTTAAAATCAGCATCTCCCTCCCTCTCTACCAGGTGACCTTGATTTTCCTTCACTTACCCTTAGTAGTTTCCTTAGGCCTTGTCTTTGCATCTATAGACGAATTTGAAATTGGAATGTCATAGAATTATCTTTTTTGCTGTTCTTTTTAATGTACTTATAATGTACTATGTGATTTTTTTGTTTCGTTGTATGTTCTTCCCCCATGGTACAACCTCTGTTGATACTGTATTTGATTCCAGTGTCCTGCATCTTGTGTGTACATTTTTTTAATTTGGGGAGGGGAAGGGAAATAACAAAATGCTGAAATAAGGATACTGGATGACACATTTTAACATATTGTACAAGACAATATGTTGAAAACGAACTTAACAATTTTGTGGGGGTGTGTAGGGGGAGGGAGGGATGGAGTTGGGGAGGTGGGGAGGAAAGGGATGGTAGGGGAAAAATAAAGGAGAGTGTAACAATGCTCGATAGGAAATGGACTCATTACCTTGCTCATGTAACTGTAACCCCTCTGTACAGTATCTTTACAGAGGAAGAGCATATCTTATTATAAACCATTAAATAGCCTAATTATTTTCTACTTGAAATATTTGAATTATGTTATTCAATTCAACCTAAAATAATTCATTCCAGAAAACACATTTCTCTCCCTACTGTAGCTGTGGATGCTTTTGGGAAAGTGGCTTCCTAATATTTATAATCTCCATTAAAAATAGCTCCTCTCTCCACACCTGTCACTTCTCCACAGTAGATTGTTCCTCAGTAGAGTTTTGCACACAGAGAAAATCTCTCTATATAATGTATATGCTCAATTGCTATGAAGTTTCCAGGACAATTTTCCTAGACTGCACAGGTTACCTCCTTCTAAACTATATTTTCATCTTGCATTAAGTGTAAACTTATTCTGAGATTTTTAAAATTAGGCTGAGGGATTCAGGACTGTGTTTATTCCTGTTATATTAAAGAAAGTATATAAAGAAAAATCAGTCTAACAGAATGTAAAATAAACTATCTTCTACATCTGATGTATGCTGATTATCCCAGGCAGATCAGAGCTGAAAATCTGAGGATATAATTTGTGACATTTCGCCCACCCTGTTGGAGAAAGTTATTATCCTAAGAAAGGAAGAGAAAGAGAAATCATAGCTCCCAGTACAATGTCCTCCCTCAAGTCTGTGAGCCAGAAATCTCACATGGTTTTTCATGAAAGAGAATTGAGTGAAGATGTTAGAAAGAAAACAAACAGAAATGAACCTGGTAATTGTTTGACATCAGAAACTACCAGTTCCCTACATTATCATATATATTCATACACGTTGTTAAATCCTAAATTTGACAGTCCATAGGATTTCACTCAGTGAAACAGAAACAACTCATGAATGTTTGATCATGACTGTGGTGGGGTAAACTAGGGATCTTAAGCAATGATAATTAGAACAAAAAGAACTATTTTCATAGTCAGATGGTCCCACAAACACAGGGAAACAAAACTTTACTTCATATATTATCTCTGTGCCTGATCTGATTTGAATATGAAGTGAGCTAACTTGCATAAATAATTTTTTATTGTGAAAATACCACACAGAGGAGTTACAATTACATGGGCAAGGTAATGACTACATTTCTTATCAAGCATTGTTGCCTCTTCCTTTGTTTCTCCTTCCCATCCCTTCCCATCTCTTTCCCCACCCCATCTCCTCCCTCCAAAAGTTGTAAAGTTTGTTTTTCGACATAAGGACTTGTACATCTCATTGTTGCAATGGCTCTACCTGTATCCCTATTTAAACGATTTGTTTTTTCCCTTCCCCTCCACAAATTATACCAACATCAAATACAGTGAAAGCAAGAGTTATACCATGAGGGAGGGACATAAATAATTTAGAGTAGAATTCGTCACATATATAGATACAGTGCAATTGCTTATTGTATTAGTAAAACTCATTATTGCTGAAAATAATTCTGAGCTCCTAGTCTTCTGTAATCTTTAACTACTCACTCAATTGCCTCCAATGCATACTCTTCTGTGAACGTCCACAGTATTTGCAACATTAACTATCTATTTTGAACTCCTGGTTTGTGCTGTTAACATCTGTGTTTTCATTTCCTGGCTTCATTAACATTTCCGCAAGTGCTATTTTTTCCAAGAATATGCTATATTTGATGATGATCATAATGACCCGTGATCGGTGGCCACAATCACCAAACCAGAAAGTCATATTTTGATGCTTTGAAACATGCGGACGATGGCTCGGCGGATCTCCTTTGTCTTGGCGCTGTAGATGAGCGGGTTGAGCACCGGAGGCACGAAGAGGTACACGTTGGACATGAGGACGTGGACGTAGCGGGGAGCATGCTTCCCGAAGCGGTGCACCGTGGAGACCCCAATCATTGGCACATAAAACGCAAGCACAGCCAAGATATGTGATACGCACGTGTTGAGAGCTTTGAGACGTTCTTCATGGGAAGCAATGGCCAGGACTGAACGCAGAATGAGCACATAGGAGAGGAAGATAAACAACAAGTCCATGCCGAAGGTAGATACAAGAACGAAGAGTCCATAGATGCTGTTGATGGTGATGTCTGCACAGGCGAGCTTCATCATATCGGGGTGCAGACAGTAGGAGTGGGAGAGAACATTGGATCTGCAGATGGGCAGCCTCTTAATGAGGAAAGGAAGCGGGAAGAGGGAGATGAAGCTCCGAGCTGTCACAGCGAAACCTGTCCCGGCAATGAGTTCATTGGTGAGCACAGTGGCATAGCGCAAGGGATTACAAACGGCCACATAGCGATCGAAGCTCATGGCCAGCAGTATCCCCGACTCCATCATGGAGAAAGAGTGAATGAGAAACATCTGGATCAGACAGGCATCAAAAGCAATGCTCTGAGCATTGAGACAGAAGGTCCTGAGTACAGTGGGCAGCGTGGCTAGGGACATGGCTACGTCGCTGAGAGACAGCATGCACAGGAAGTAGTACATGGGGGCGTGGAGGCTGGGCTCTCTGCGGACAGCCTGCAGGATCACTGTGTTTCCCCCCAGGGCCACAGCGTACATCACGCAGAGGGGCCCTGCCAGCCAGGAATGAAGGTTCTCCAGGCCAGGGATACCAGTCAGGAGGAAAAAAGCAGGGCGAGTGACATTGAAGAGCCCCATGATAGGAAGTCTCTGTGTCAGATCTTTTGCCTTAGAGAATTCTAAGAGTTGTACCAACACTGGAGGGCAGGAAACCATGAATCAACCCATCCAAAAGATGATGGCTCCAAAATTAGAAACTGATCCAGGCATCCAATTTCCTGGTGTGGGGATAAAGCAGGCAAATGTGTCTTTTCTTCATATTGTATTATCGCCAGACTGCAGGCTGGAATACTATTTCTCTCTGTTTTACAGAAGAGGGACATGCATATAATACATCAGAGATACCAACTAATTATGAGAAAAAAAATCTTTCCTCCATATTATCTACATCTTTCATGCATTAGAAGCATGATGGAGTAGAAACATGTTAAGAATCATCAATTGTTATGATACAAAGCAATCAGGAGATAGGGTCATCAGTATGTTTTGTATGTGCTTAAACATTTCAGGTTGATGCCTATAGTTAGTGAGATACAAATCAAGAGACAGTTTGAGCCATGATGAGTGCTTATTCATTAAGGAGAAATGGTGGGATGTGAATAGAGCTGCCTACCTCTGAGTATCACCTTTTACAGGCAGAATGACTCTACAGAGAACTGTGTAAATACTTGCTCATGTAATGCTTACATATGGAGAAACTGAGGTTCAGTTGGATTAGTCTGCCTTATAGCTTATAATGAATGGCAAAAAAAGCTTCTGTAAAGATTTACAAACTGTCTTACCAGTGGAAGGGAAGACAAAAAGGAACACACACACACACACACACACACACACACACACACACAGATGCATTTCTAAGCCAGGCACTGGTAGCTCATGCCTGTAATCCTAGCTACTCAGGAGGCTGAGATCTGAATATTGCAGTTGAAAGCCAGCCTGGGCAGAAAAGTCTGTGACACTCCTATCTCCATTAAACTCCAAACAAGGGCTGAGAAGGTGGCTCAGTGGTAGAGCGCTTGCCTTGCATGCATGAGGCCCTGGGTTCGATTCCTCAGCACCACATAAGCAAAAAGAAAAAAGCCAGAAGTGGTACTGTGGCTCAAGTGGTAGAGTGCTAGCCTTGAGCTGAAGAGCTGAGGGACAGTGTCCAGGCCCAGAGTTCAAGCCCATGACCGGACCCAAAAATAAATACATAAATAAATAAACTCCAAACAAGATGGAAGTGGAGTCGTGGCTCCAGTGGTACAGTGCTAGTCTTGAGCAAAAGAAGCTCAGGGACAGTGGCCAGTCTTTGAGTGTTTTGATGTGTGTCTAAGATTCTTTTTTTTTTTTGGGGGTCTGGTCGTGGGGCCTGAACTCTGGGCCTGGGCGCTGTCCCTCAGCTCTTCAGCTCAAGGCTAGTGCTCTACCACATGAGCCACAGCGCCACTTCCGGCTTTTTTCTTTTTGCTTATGTGGTGTTGAGGAATTGAACCCAGGGCCTCTGGCTTGCAAGCAAGCACTCTACCACTGAGCCACCTTCCCAGCTGTGTCTAAGATTCTTTATGACTTTGATTTTTCTTTTTGCCAGTCCTGGGACTTGAACTCTGGGCCTGGGCTCTGTCCCTGAGCTTCTTTTGCTCTAGGTGAGTGCTCTACTACTTAAATCATGGCTTTTCAGAGTATTTTATTGGAGAAAAAAGTCTCATGGACTTCTGTCTTGGTAGACTTTGAACCACAATCCTCAGATTTCAGTCTATAGCTAGGATTACAGGTGTTAGCCACTGGAACCCAGCTGGATTTGATTTTTTAATGTTACTTTTAAATTTCTTAGAAATGAACATTTATGATGTTTTTTTGGGGGGCTGGTAGTATTCAGAAATAAGGTATGTATGCTTGTCTAAACACCATAGATTTAAATCTATATCAAAACTACCAAGAGATTAGCAGTAGGTATTGGTGGCTTGTTTGAAATCACAACTACCGTTTCTCCTATTGAAAAAAAAATCCTGGTGAATTTTATGTGCCTTGTTGTTTTAGGACTCATAAGGTAAGAGCCAAAGTAGAACCATGTAATTGACTTCTGTGGTTGGGAAATCATTTCTGAGTTCTACGTCCTGCTTATAACTCCTTACATTTGCAGCAAGGTTAGTGAATCACAGAAACTTCGACCTTTGGATACTGGAAATTGAATATGGCGTGCCAGTGATCTAGAGAGGTAGGGTAAATGACTCAGGTCTACAGAATCTGTTAGTAGCATTATCACAAGAATCTGAGGTCTGGGGCTGGGAAGATGGCTCAGTGATAGAGTGCTTGCCTCGCATGCATGAGGCCCTGGGTTCGATTCCTTAGCACCACACAAGCAGAAAATGCTGGAAGTGGTGCTGTGGCTCAAGTGGTAGAGTGCTAGCCTTGAGCTGAAGAGCTGAGGGACAGAGCCCCGGCCCAGAGTTCAGGCCCTATGACTGACCAAAAAAAAAAAAAAAGAGTCTGAGGTCTTCCAACCCCGATCTTTCTCTCACTCTGCTAAGAAACTTGTTTCAGATGCCCTCCATCCAGGATTTCACACTTTATTTCTGCCTAATTTGACCCTAGTTTAACACTCTCCTGAGACAGGCTTTGCCCTCCCAATGTTTCTCAACTCACCAAAGTCAGGCAGGTAGAAGACACCCTCAAATTATTCTTCTGTCTGCTATAGTTGAATTCTTGACTTCCAGTTTTATATCTCACTCTAAGTCCTGGGATAGAGAAGTCTGAAAATTCTTCTGGGAGGTTATAGTCTCTCCAGGTCTTTTAATGACTCCTGAGGATAAATAATAATGCTCTTAGAGCTGAGAGACCAGTTCTCTACCCCATCTAAGATACTTTTCTCTCTCTTTTTTTTTTTTTCAAGAGATGGGCAGACACTCTAGGAGAAAAGCTCAATACTCAAAGAGATCCCAGCTTTATGCAATCAATAGTTATTTTAAACCCAGGAAATAATGTGCAATCTGAAAATAACTATTCTTAATCTTTTTCCTTTACGTGTATTGAGTGGGTCACAGTTTTCTTGATCCCTCATAAGAACTCAGTTCCTTACGCTTGTAGGTCACATCCTAATAATAGCAGTAATAAATAACATAATATCTTTTCATATATAAATTAAATGCCCAGCGTTATGTAATGGTTGAACCATCCAGCATTTAGCCTTTTGTTTTCTCTTAACCTAACTTGCTAACCATGGTGAGAATAAGAGAAGGGAAAATAGAAGCCTCTAATTCTTCAGTGCCAAAACTAGCTACTATCATATTTAGTGTGGCTAAATAGACTGTCAGGCAAATACTCCATCACAGGGTCCCAATCACAATCAGTTAGTATAATTTTTATTATATATTTTTATTGTAAAGATACTGTACAAAGGGGTTACAGTTAATATGAGCAAGGTAATGAGTCCATTTCCTATCAAGTAGTATAATTTTTTATTAGCATCAATTAGCTGTACAAAGGAGTTCCATTTTCTGTTTATGTATATATGCGATGCATTTTGATCAGTCAAAATCTTTACAAACAGTTTTATCTCACAGGTTACATTGTGCTATTTTTCTGGGTTTCATTATGTTATTTATTTGTGTGTATATAATATGCTTCCTAGTAGCTTCTAACCATAATGTTGGAGGAACAAAGGCAGGTATGTGGGGCTTATTAAATTATAAAATTGAGGAAAAGTGCTAAAGAACCAAAACCTAAGCTTTTGAGGAGTGGACATGAATTTGGTAGTTCTAAGGTATAAAGAGTCAGGGGAAAGGTGGCAGCTATAACTGAGACTTATTGCCTTGAGACATGTGTTTTTGGAGCTTGTTCTGAGGTCATTATGAGAGCATAGTAGGATTGAATCTGGAAATGCTGGAAAGCTGCAAGGCTCTGTGGTTCTTCTGGTATTAATCACTTCAGTGAAGACATGCTGATAGAGTAACACAGCAACAGAAGCAAAGAGGACCATACAGATCCCTCCTTCCTGACCTTTATTTTCAGAATACTATGATTTGGGAGCTGGATGCCAAATGAGAAATGCAGTTCAAAATGCTCAGCACCTAATAGTATAGAAGATGGAACTAAAAATGAGTGACAATAGAACCTATTCAAAATTTAGAATAAATATAATGCTGAAAATCATTTAAATGGATTTTTGAAAAATCTGGAAGCAATTTTCAGTAGGTAACAATTGAGCTGGGGGTTCATAACAGCCTGAAGTCACTCTTACTTACCGACGGGAGTGAAATGTAAGGCTTCCAAGGCTGTAACAAAGGCAAGCCCAACCAGGAGAAGCTGGAGTCGTAGAGGAGATGTGATCCGTGCTAGAGATCATTCCCTAGGTGAACCAGTCAATGGGAGAAACTACTTCTGTGAATGCTTCCCACAAGTTGCACTTGTCTGTAGGGGTAGCTGATTTAGGAAACTAGAATTTTCTTCAAATAATGATGGGATCTTGGTTATATGGAGAACAGCCATTGGATGGATTTTGAAAAGAAGCAAGGTTCATCTTGCTTTTATTGTTTCATTAGCATTATTGGATAAGTGATTACCCATTGGCTTTTATCTTCATACTATACAAAGTGTCAACTCACTGTAGAGCATGAGCTTGTGTTCTGAGTAAAGATTCTGAGGGGCAACAAGCTCTCCCTCCAGGCTAGACAATCAGATTTCCCTGGAATTTACTAAAGCCTACTTACATGCCTAGATTTTACTCACTCAAGTAGGATGTGTGGCTTTCTTTGCAACTCTCTTTCTGTCTTGAAAGGAGCGGTCATACTGTCTTAAATGTGGCTGCGTATATTTCTGTGGCCTCTGTTGGAGAGAAAGTTCTTCCAGGGACATATACAGTTCCTAGAAGGGGAATGTTTGTTTGTTCAACGTAAGCTGCATCTAAGAAGACCTATTATTACCTTTAGTCATATGAAAAAGTACTCATGTGTCACATGCGTATAATGAGTTCTACAATACATCCTAGCACACTTGATACGGAAGTAGCCCAGGTTTGGCTTAAGCTGGCCTATGAGATTATGTGTATTTAGTTCTTTGTTGTTGTTGTTTGTTTTTAATCATTATTTTAAATGTGGTTTAATATGTTCAGAAGAATGATTGCAATACCTCAGGGTTATATATTGGTTCTACACAAATCTATTTTGTACAGGAATTGCATCTGGCACCTAAATTCCACAAACTAATCCATACGTAGATGTTACATCTGAATTTGTGGGACACTTTGTTGATCTGCTAATAATAGCAATGTGAGTGTGTGCTGGAACAGAATGTAGATTTTGGGAGAGGGCGAATATATTTAAAATATTCTTGGATATGTCTTCAAGTATGTGTATGAGTCCGCTAACTTAAAAATTATGTCAATATTTTAAATTAGCATTTATTATCAATAAAAACCTATAGAGATTATTGTGTGTGTTTCAATTTTCAAAATATCTGGCTTGAGCATTGAGCAGTTGTAGAAGTATATTTGTGTTTGTTGGAATGGGTATACATTTGAAAGAGGCATTGTGAATATTAGTAGGTAAATAAAAATGTATACATGGGATCCGTAGAGTATCTGTGATGATATATGTTTGTGGGCATCATATGTAGTGTGCTTGTGATCCTGATCAAGGAAGGGTTGATATGCTACAAATGGTGACACTAAGAATGTGAATCTAAGCATGAGTTTCTCCTGAGAGTAATTCTCCTATTGCCCCACTGCTCCACTCAGTGGTGCCACCCTCCCAATTATTTCATCTTTCCTCCTCTCACTCTATGGAAATGAGTCTTGGGATTTGGGGTCATTTATAAATGTATGTCAAGGAGAATGTGCCAATGCCAGTCTGCTGGCTGGACTCACAGTACAATCAACCCGGCTGCAGGGAAGAGAGACCTCTTCCATGCGGTGAGTACTCCCTGGTTCCCATGGAACACTTGGTCCTCCTCAGGAGTACATCCCAAATTCTAACATTCTTGCTGAAATTCTAGGCCAGTTCTAATCCTTGTATTTTACCCTCATATTTCATATGCCACAGAAATGTAATTACTGGGGATATTGTTGTGGGTACATGAATGCTGATGCACTTGTTATATCTTGTATGTATATGCTTATAAGTAAGTGTTTGGAAGGATGTAAATGTAGAGGAACACTCTAAAAGTCTCTCTCTCTCTCTCTCTGTGTATGAAGCCATAAGTCTGCCAGTATTATGTGGCGTAAGAGTATCATTTGTGACCTCGGGGCCTGTGTGATTATTTCTGTGTGTAAATACCACAGTGGAGGTGAGAAGAAGTGCCTATGAATATCTAGACAGAAAATGTGTTGGTTTTTTCTGTCACTTTAGATGTGCTTTGTATATATATGTATCACACGTGTTTTGACCTGCATTTTCCTGGTCTGATTTTTCTTCCCAGAATAGTTCTATTTAGAGAATTTGACCATACATCTTTCATGAACAGTGACAAAAATAGAAAAGACTTGTTTGGTGGGCTTTGTTTTTCCCCACACAGAATGAACTGAAGATTGATGAAATACTACCCTTCAGGACTATCTTAGTTTGCATAGCAGGGGTTTAAGGAGAATGAGATGATCTCACTTCTGAAAAACTCTGAGCATCTCTTGATGCTGGCAAGACTCTTCCCATTTCTTTAGGACTCAGAAGGAATCTGCAAAAGCAGATTAGAAAAGCACATCTATAAAGGCTGAATCTTAAAGATGTAGATTTTAAACTTGGTTGGGAGAAAAATGTTTCTAGAGAGTCAGGGACAAGAATTCTACTGAGGAAAGGAGTGCTTTCTCTCTCAGTAGTGGGAGAGAAAAATCCAAGAAATAGATAAATGTCTTCCCATTGGCCATAAACTTTCAGGATGGTGTCTTCATCCACTCTTTGCCACCAATGAATTTCCCTGTGTTTACAAGGAGTTCTAGGAATAGAGTGGAAATGCTAAGAAAAGGCAAGGGATGTGAAGAGTCATTATGCTGGAATGCTGAAGGAAAGCTACAATTTTGATCTATCAGGTATCATGGAAATACAGTTGTCAATATATTTTAGACCAAAAGAAAATCTCGATCTTTTTTCTACATTTCCAGCATCCCGACTCACTTTACTTGGAGTTAGGCTACTACTGTTTAAAGACAAAAACAGCAAAAAACAATTTGGTAAACAAAGTATACACAAAAGAGCCAATGTAAGGAAAAAATTAAGATGCTACCCCCTTAAACAAAGAAGGCAGCTTTAAACAGGTGAGTTTCTAATTCTGCTCATTCTGTGACAAATGTCTTAGCACATAAGAAAAATGTTTTTCACTTAAAAACACAGTGGTCAGTGGTCACCTTCTCCTATTTCAGGAAGGAGCGTGGTGGGGGGGGGGGGTGAGTGATCCAGGAGAATGTAAAAGATATAACCAATGAAATGAGCAATAATAGAATATAATTTTAATATAATTGAATTCTGGAGCATAGAATCGTGTTAGGGAAGCAGACACAAAGGCAGATAAGTTACAAGCTATCTTTCCCTGACATCAGGAAATGTAGGGTTTCAAGCAATTTGGCTAAGGATTGAGGAAGGGTGAGAAGGTAGAGGTATATGGAGTATTTATGTATGAGATGATTTTGCAGGTGATTTTGCATGTACTTAATCGCCATAAGGGAAAGAGGCAGAGAGTGAATCAGGTTGAAGTGCCATACAATGGGCTAACAGAAGCTGTTTCAAAGGAGGTGTCAGAAAATGGGTTTTTGAAGTTAGAGGGTCTGTCTTTGGAGAAGAAAACACATTGACTTCTCACAAAAAAATAAGGATACGCATAAATAAAGGCATACATAACTTTAAAACTTAGGGGATGGTAACGATTCTTTCTCTTCTTTTTTTTTTATTATCTCAGTAATTCATTATTCCCCTTGCTTTCTTGAGTCACCCACCTGTACGCCTGTTTGGCTATAGAACTGACCAAAGATCCCAAGATTGCTCCCTCTGAAAGGCAAGAAAGGAGAAGATGAAACTAGTCTCATGTGTGAACATGTCATGAAAAACTAAGATGAAGGTGCTGATTGCCAAATAGATTAGAAGAGGCTGGAGGAAATATAAAGATTCCAGAGCTACACAGACATGAGGATGACAAATTCAGGGGCTGGCCATGGGACTGGCAGGCTGAGGTGAAGTCTGAATAAAGAATATCGAAGATCTAGTTTTATGGCTTTAGATGGTCTACTGAAAAAATCCTCAAAGATACATACGGACAGTTCTCTCCTCCTTGCCTGGACCGCCCTAATTTCTATTTTTCCTTCAGCACTGTAAGAATCTTGCTTCTGGATTAGATGGGAACGTGAAGGGGTCTGTGGTGAGGATTTAAGCCCCTCACTCATGTTTTTTCTTACCTTTGACCTTATTCTCCCGTCATGCAATAGGCACACATTTGATGACAGAGTTTCCACTATGGCAAAGAGAATATGCTGGGCCCTGGTTGTATAGAAACAAGTGGAATCCATCTCCTTCCTCCAACAAATCAGAGTCTAAAAAGGGAGCCAGAAACACAGACACACAATTTCAATCTCTGAGCTTTTGTGGTGGAGACAGGATATCTGAAAGAAATCAAGTGAAGATCTTCCCCTGACGCACCCTCCTTGGGCTGACTCAACCCTTCTCTATTTTTCCCTCCTGCCTGCCATGCTGGACTTCAATAGCACTCCCTTCCAGCCAGCCACACTGCAACTGACAGGCATTCCAGGGATGCAGACAGGCCAGGCCTGGGTCGCCCTGATCTTCTGCATCCTCTACCTGATCTCCATCTTAGGCAACCTCAGTATCCTTGCTCTGGTGGTTCGGGAGCCTGCTCTTCACCAGCCCATGTACTACTTCCTCTCTATGCTCTCTCTCAACGACCTGGGCGTGTCCTTTTCTACACTTCCAACGGTGCTGGCTACCTTCTGCTTCAACTACTGCCACGTTGGCTTCGATGCCTGCCTGGTGCAGATGTTCTTCATTCACACGTTTTCTTTCATGGAATCGGGCATCCTTCTGGCCATGAGCTTTGATCGTTTCGTGGCTATATGTGACCCACTACGCTATGCCACGGTGCTCACCAACAGCCGCATCCTGGCCATGGGCTTGGGGATCCTTGCCAAGAGTTTCATCACTCTCTTTCCTTTCCCCTTCCTGGTGAAAAGGTTGCCATTCTGCAAGGGCAATGTTTTGCATCATTCATATTGCCTCCATCCCGATCTCATGAAAGTGGCCTGTGGCGACATTCATGTCAACAATATCTACGGACTCTTTGTGGTCATTTTCACATACGGCGTGGACTCGGTTTTCATCCTTCTGTCCTACGCGTGGATCTTGAGGGCTGTATTGGCCATCGCCTCCCAGGAGCAGCGACTCAAGGCCCTGAACACTTGCATGTCACACATCTGTGCGGTGCTGGCCTTTTATGTGCCCATCATCGCTGTCTCTATGATTCACCGCTTCTGGAAACAGGCTCCTGCTGTCGTTCATGTCATGATGTCCAGTGTCTACCTGTTTGTACCCCCCATGCTAAACCCCATCATATACAGTGTGAAGACCAAAGAGATCCGCAGAGGGATCCTCAAGATCTTCCATAAATCCCAAACCTGAGGAAGGCCTCAGACCTCGAGGAAACTGGATTCACCTTCCAAGCATGCTAAAATAAAGAAGACCCAGACTCTTGGGAGTTATGAGTTTGATCCCAATTAAAGAGTATCTACAACAGGGGGAAAATGTGATCAAGGTACATTCTATGCATGTAAGAAAATATCATGTTGAAATCCACTTTGTATGTATAAGGAGTTTATAATGAAGTATAATATGTCTAATTCAATAAATGATGTACATCTTTATTGAAAATTGATTGTGAAAATTCTTACACTAAAAATGTTATAATGGTGAACATACACTATTAAACTACTAGATATATATGACAAGTTGAAAAGGTAGGAAAAATACAACAGATGCTCTTGCGAACAATTCTGTTATCAACAAGAGAGACAAAAGTGCCATGGACTCTTGCTGTTTTCGTTTAAGAGGAGGATCTATTTGGTTCGTAGAAATGAAAACAAGTTCTATAGGTGGCTATGAAATAGTTTGTGAAGAATAAGAGGGATTAGATATAATACTGGTTCAGGATGGCAAGGAGAAAGGAGGTAGTAGTCTCTGCAGATCAAACTTTCTTAGAACAAATCTTTAGGATAAAGTGTTTACAGCCTTAACACTGAACCATATAGCACTGTATATCTGGTAGCTTGCTACAGAAACACAATATTAGGTGCCGCACTACTGAATGAGCACTGCCTTTACTAAAATGTTGAGCGACTAAAGCTTGAGAAGCATTCTGCTTCCCTTTTCTAATATCTCTCAGGTATTAGATGCTTATCTATGAGCCCTACAACAAGAGTAAACAGACACATAGACAACACAAGTTTGGAAAAAATGGTTCTCAATGTTTGATTCTCAGACTAGCACCTTCAGCAACACTTGGGATTTTGTTAGTCATGTAAATTCTAGGGACCTTTCTCAGACTACCCATACCAAAAATTCTGGGAAGCAGGATCCAGGAGTTTGGATTTCAACAGGTATCCCATCTTATTCTGACTCACTAACTTAGAATACTGTTATAATATGTGGGAAAGTTGCTATTACTTTTGTATGGATAAAGAGGAGGTTTTCTCATTGAGAAGCCTGAGAAACAAAGTCTTAAGAGATTGCTTAGCCAGAGGAATACCAAGTACATTATAAACAAGAATATGGTACGAATATTGAAGATCTGGAGGAAACTCCTTTGGAGGAAGAACTGTGATTTACCTCCAGGCACACTAAAACTAGGAAGTCGAATACTCAGACTCTTGAGAGACAATGTAGCCTTACCACTCCTGTGAGCTGATGGAGGTAGAAGACAGATAGTTTCGGAATAATTTGAGAGTCTTCAGCCACTTCAGTCATTATCCCATAATGTGACAGCATTTCCTTTCCTCCTAGTTCTTACTCTGCTATTCCAACTGTCTGACATTCAAAATTCATCTCAATTCCAATTTTAGTGCTGCTCTCTGGGTATATAGAACTTAATGGAAAACAAATGTTTTGCTATAAGATGAGAGATCAGACAAGAGTAGTTTGTGACTGGAGGTTGAGTGTGTACCAGTCCCCTGACAAGAACCTGGTTTGAGAATTTTCTGCTTTATTCCACTGTAGAAAGTTTCACTACTACATTACAGAGCACACTGTTTTCTGCTGAAATGTTGCTGTGGAAAGAGACTCCTATTTTCCTTACAGATGACTTGGAAGACTTACAGTAAACTTTTTCTATGAGATGTGTGCATATGTTGTTCAATTATTACTACCAGAAGGAATATTTAGGCTTTCATGATTTAGCCACTTACTTAATAGAACCTTGGAAAAGGACATTTCAGATGTACAAAAAAGATATATTGCAATCATAGCTAAAATTCTATTTCTATTTTAGGGTTTGGCACACTAAGTTTTAATTAAATGACTAATCAAATAATCAAATGACTAATAAATAATCCAATGACTAATAAATGAGGGAACTGAACTCTGATCCTTCTTTCCTTCCTTCCTTGCTTCCTTCCTTCCTTCCTTCCTTCCTTCCTTCCTTCCTTCCTTCCTTCCTTCCTTCTTTCCTTCCTTTCTTCCTTCCTTCCTTCCTTCCTCCCTCCCTCCCTCCCTCTCTCCCTCTATCCTCTCTCCCTCTTTCTTTCTTTCTTTTTTCTTTCTTTCCTTCCTTTTTTCTTTCATTCTTTCTTTTTCTTTCTTTCTTCTTTTTGCTACTTGTAAGGATATAGTTAATCATTCATTCTGTGGCTTCTAAAATGTCTCAACTCCTTGCCAGAGACTTATTACCAATCTAAGGCATCATTTAGGTCTCCTTTCTCCATGATTCTGTGGCCTCATGCATGACACTGATTTATTCTGAATTCCATGTCCTGATACAACTTCATTACCTCTGACTCATCCAATCCTGTACCAATCATAGAAGGCATAGCTATTCTTTTCAAAAGGCTCCTCTGTTACTTCATACTTCATAATTGTCCTGTTTGCCTCCCACACCTATTCCATAAGCTGACAGAAAAGAGAGAGTATGTTCCTGCCTCTCTTTCCCTTCACAGAGTCTTACTCTACCTGAAACTAAAATGAAGAAGGGTTAAGTGAGATCTTCAGTAGGAGTGACAGGTATTGGAAGCAAGAACATGTTGGGGGAATGGGGACCCAAAGCAGAACCTACAATGAGATACATTCTCATGTGTGCTAAATTCAGTTAAAAACAAACAACAAAGAAACTAATTATGATCATCTTTCCACTTGCATCCCTATCTCTTATAGATAATAATACACCAGTTAAAATAAGACTCCGAGGTGAGGAGGTAAAGTAAAATCATGAAGCTATGTATCAAGCTAGCGCTTAAAACTAGGTATATGCAACGTTGCACCCCATATCATTCCAGTGTCTTGGAATGACTCTCTAGAAAAAAATCCCTGAACTTCTGGAGCTTGGGGTAGGGTTGAGAGGAAGGTAAAGGAAGTGGGAATTGGTTAGGGAATAACAAGGATAAATACATTTAAATAGCCAAGGTTGTATCCTCTATTGCTGAAATTCTGGATTGTCTTTGGCATCCAGGACTTATTCTCTAATATTTGAACCTTGGAATTTGCCTGTCATACACTGAACTTTAGATTCTATCTGGAATCTGGGTTTTAAGACAGACTTCAGAAATCAAGGTCCTGAATTTCAGGCAAACAGTTTTATTTTTGAGGCAGGATAATTGTGTGTGTGTGTGTGTGTGTGTGTGTGTGTGTGTGAGTGTGTGTGTGTGTGTGTGTGTGTGTGTGTGCATGTGTGTTGGCATGCTGGCATGGAGCCCAGAGGGGATTTTTTCTCCTTTTTCTTTTTCCTCATAAAGAAGGAGTTAAAATGTATGTTCTCTATGGAGAGATGACAGTATCCCTCGAGTGAAAAGTCTTTTATTATTATTACTATCATTATTATTACTTTTCTATTCCTAGACTGAAATCTAACCCTATCCCTTTTGAGCTCACCAGAACAGCCTTACACTCAGACAAAGCAGGACCCCAGAGACTCTGGCGTCTGAGAACTTGCACTCAGAGTATAAAATCTGCATCTCTTTGTATAGCACCTGCCTGAGAACCACTGTGGATCCATTTTGAGCTCTGGTCCTGTGATAATCCAATTATCACTCCCCCAAAGCTATCTCAGGTGAGTTTCAATTTGTGTGTGTCTCCAAGGTGTGAGGGCAGTACTTGGTTCCTATGAACCATTTTCTTTGTCTTTCTGTGTGGGTTTCCTGAGCCTCTCTTAATTACGTGTCTGTATCTTTGAGTGAATTTCTATCAATGTCTGTGTACATTTGAATAGTTGATACTTTGGTTTAGCCCATGACAGAAACTGAGGCCAAAAAGTATTTCATTTTCATGTTGGTGTTCTATACAAAAAGAAATAATCGTTCAAATGCCTTTGTGATCTCCCAGCCACTTCCAGAGAGGGCTGTCAGGATGGATGTGTACGTGCTAGCCACCAACAGCTGGCCTCTGCTCTGTGTCACCTGAGGTTCTGTTGCTGAACAGGAAAGGGCTTGACAGCTTGGAACATCAGGCCTGGGGTTAGGAGGAAAGCTGAAAGGGCTTTTCATCCCAATTCAGGAGATGCTGGCATCCTCCCTTTAGCTTATCTTAAGGTGGAATCCTGTCTTTGTTTACATCTGTCCGTTGTCTAGAGGCTTCTTATGTTGTCATAGTTTTGGGTCTGAGAAAAATAATGTGCCTTGTTTAAAGCCCAACTTCTATCGATGATATTCACCAATCACTCCTTACTTCCTCTCCTACCCATCCCCTCCCACTCTATTGTACTTTGCTCTTGTTAAGGTTCAATCTAGCCCAAGCAGTCAATTTGTATGTTTGTTCATTTAGTACGTTCTTGCTTTTATTATTGCTTTTGGCATTATTGGAATTTGAATTCAGCGACTCACTCTTGCTAGGCAAGGGTTTTATCACATGAACCATGCTTCAGTCCTTTTTTTGCTGTGGTTTACTTTTTCAGATAGAGTCTTATGCTTTTGTCAGGGCTACCCTTGGGCAAGTGGCTGAGATTATAGGCATGAGCCAACATGCCTGATCTATCCTTTTACTTTTTCTTGAACACATTTGTGCATCCCAGCTGTGGGAAATCTTGTGAGGTAAAGAGAATCAGATACAATCTTGACATTAAAAGAACACACAAGCCAGGCACTGGTGGCTCACACCTGTAATCCTTGCTACTCAGGAGGCTGAGATCTGAGGATTGTGGTTCAAAGCCTGCCCGGTGCAGGAAAATCTGTGAGACTCTGATCTCCAGTAAACCACCAGAAAACTGGAAATGGTGCTGTGGCTCAAGTGGCAGAGCACTTGACTTGAGCTGAAGAGCTGAGGGACAGCGCCCAGGCCCAGAGTTCAAACTCCATGACCAAAAAAATAAAAAAAGCACACAAGTCACACAGACATAAAGGTAAATGTCTTTTATCATTTTATTAGGATTAATTTCAAATATATTATGTAGATAAATTATTCACTGGGTTTTGTGACATTTATGA